GCGCCCAAGCCCAGAGTTCAGGCCCTACGACAGAACCAAAAAAGAAAGAAAGAAGAAAGAAAGAAAGAAAGAAAGAAAGAAAGAAAGAAAGAAAGAAAGAAAGAAAGAAAGAAAGAAAGAAAGAAAGAAAGAAAGAGAAAAGAAAAGAAGAGCTGAAGCCAGGTACTACTGGCACACCTATAATCCTAGCTACTCAGGAGGCTAAGATCTGAGGATTGTAGTTGGAAGCCAGCCAGCGTAGGAAATTCCATGAGACTCTTTTTTTTGGGGGGGGGAGGGGGGTCCATTTGTGGGGCCTGAACTCTGGGCCTGGGTGCTGTCCATCAGCTCTTCAGCTCAAGGCTAGCACTCTACCACCTGAGCCACAGCTCCACTTCGGCTTTTTTCTTCTGTGGTGCTGAGGAATCAAACCCAGGGCCTCATGCATGCAAGGCAAGCGCTCTACCACTGAGCCACCTTCCCAGCCCTCCATGAGACTCTTATCTCCAACAAAAGGTCAGAAGTGAGCTGGGTGCCAGTGGCTCACTCCTGTAATCCTAGCTACTCTGGAGGCTGAGATCTGAGGATCACGGTTCAAAGCCAGCCCCAGCAGGAAAGTCTGTGAGACTCTAATCTCCAATAAAACATTAGAAAACCGGAAGTGGTGCTGTGACTGGAGCGGTAGAGCGCTCGTCTTGAGCTGATGAGCACAGGGACAGTGCCCAAGCACAGAGTTCAAGCCCCACGACCGACCAAAAAAAAAAAAAAAAAAAGGTCAAAAGTGGAGCTGTGGCTCAAATCATAGATTGCTAGCTTTAAACCAAAGAAGCTCAGGGACAGCATCCAGGCCCTGAGTTCAAGCCCCAGGACCAGCACACACACACACACACACACACACACACACACATACAGATAGAAAGCATTCTCTCTCTCTCTCTCTCTCTCTCTCTCTCTCTCTCTCTCTCTCTCCCCCTCCTTTCCTGGATTGCTGCGTGGAAAACAGGTGGGCTAGCACCTAGGGTCACTGAGGACAGGACATCCTTGGGCAGAGGCCCTCACATATGCCTGGCTTTGAGGGAAAGTCATAGCACCGGGTCGCTCAGAGGCTATGCAACGAGGCCATCTGTGCATCTGTGGAGTTAAGACCAAGGAGACCCTGAAGTGTCCTTGGCTGCGGTAGGCTGAACCGAGTCAGTGACTGACAGGCCTACCTGCCAATCAGAAGACAGCTCCCTCTTACAAGCTGAGATGGGGCCACTGGAGTGCAGATGGCTGTTGGGAAGTTAAGGGGGAGGGGAGCAGGGACAAGACGTCGCGGGGGAGTGCCCTGGGCAACAAAGGGGAAATAGACGCACGGAGGGGAGCCTGCAGAGGCCCTGTGGGTGACCAAGAGACCTGCCCTGGGAAAGGCTGGGGCTTCCTCTGATGGCCTTCACCTGGCTTTGCATTTTCCTGCCTCACCAATTGCAACCTGTGGCAAGAAGCGGGAGGAGGCCCGGGCGGGTTGAGAAGAGGTGAAGTGGAGGCCTGGGCAGTGCTGCCACCTGGTGGCGAGAGCCTGCCATTGCCACCCCAGGAAGGAAAACTTTTGTCTTCATGAATAGTGTGATCCCCACATTTCTTCCCTCCGCTCCCCCCACATTGTTCCTCGGTATAAATAATCAGTCTATAGGCTGGGGGGGGGGATGTGATTCAGTGGTGGATCAGTTGGCTAGCATGCATGAGGCCTTGGGTTCAATCTCCAGCAGGAGGGGGAGGGAAGAAAAACAATAAATCTGATCACTATACAATTGTTCATATGCAGAAACAAATGTGTCTTGGTGAGGAGTGAATTGTGTGACCATTCATAAATAAGAGATAAGCTGAGCACCAATGGCTCCCTTTTTATACTAGCTACTCAGGAGGCTGAGAACTGAGGATCCATGTTTGAAGCCAGCCCAGGCAGACAAATCCAAAATACTTATTAAGTAACCGGCAGCAAGCCAAAAGTGGAGCTGTGGCTCAAGTGGTAGAGCACCAGCCTTCAACAAAAAAAGCTAGACAAGAATGTGAGGATTTGAGTTAAAGACCCAGTACTGGCTGGGTGCTGGTGGCTCACGCCTGTCATCCTAGCTACTCAGGAGGCTGAGGATTGAGGTTTGAAGCCAGCGGAGGCAGAAAAGACTCCATGAGACTCTTATCTGCAATTCACCACACAAAAACCAGAAGTGATGCTGTGGCTTAAGTGGTAGAGGGCTAGCTTGAGGACAAAGAGGCTCAGGGACAGCGCCCAGGCCCTGAGTTCAAGCCCCTCAATCAACCAAAAAAAGACCCAGGACTGAACAAACAAAAAGAAGAAAGCCCATATATTCTAGAGCAAAATGAGCATTAGTCACTCACCCTGAAGTGATTTCGTATTTTATGTCCAGCCATGACATGCCAACAAACACACAAGTCTACTAGCAAAGAGCAAAGCTTTGAACCTGTGTTTTATAACAACCTCCTTTTATCATCCTACCTGGCCCCCATCCTGTCCTGGGGCTTGAACTCAGAGACTGGGCCCTGTCCCTGAGCCTCTTTGTGCTCAAGGCTAGCACTCTACCACTGGAGCTACAGCACCACGTCTGTTTTTTCTGAGTAGTTTATTGGCGCTAAGACTCTCACAGACTTTCCTGCCCAAGCTGGCTTTGGAACATGATCCTCAGATCTCAGCCTCCTCAGTAGCTAGGATTATAAGCATAAGCTACAGGCAACACTGACTGTATTTTAGTGTGTATATGTGTGTGCCAATCATGGGGCTTACACTCAGGGCCTGGGCACTGCCCCCTAAGCTTTTTCTCTCAAGGCTGGTGCTTTACCACTTGAGCCCTACTTCCAGCTTTTTGATAGTTAATTGGAGCTAGGAATCTCATGAACTTTCTTGCTTGGGCCAGGTTCAAACTGTGATCCTTAGGTCTCAGCCTCTTGAGTAGCCAGGATTACAGGCGTGAGCACCAGCCTCACACAATATAGTATTTTATTTTACTTTTGGTGTTTTTTTTTTTGGTGGTGGTGGTGCATGGAATGGAACCCAGGGCCCTGCACATCCTAGGTAAGAGCTCCCCCACCCAGCAGCACCCCAGTTCCTCCTCCCACAGCCACTAGCACTATCTTAGCACCAGTGAAGGTACAGGGTGGTCCCTGTCTCTCGTAGTTCACGTGCTTGGGGAAACAGTCACAACTTCTAGCACTTTCTTTCCCTTGAGCCGGAGGGAACCATCAGAATGGCTCTGGACTATGACGTCATAGAGCCCCAACCCAGAACAAGAGTGGAGGGGATCATGGGGCTGTGGCAATGGGTGTCTTTGTGGGTGTGGCTGGCAGGGCTGGGCACCATCGACACAGGTGGGAAGCCAGCTGGAGGATACTAGGAAGAAAGGTGTTGGGGGGGGGACATTGAGGGGCATTCACCTCTAGGGACTGAGAGCCCAATCCCAGGACTTTCTCCTTTCCCTCCACCCTCCTTGCTAGACCTCCCCATCCCCAGCTGTCCTGTTGGCCTGGGGACAGGGTCTTCAGGGCTCTTGTCACAAACTTTGCTCTGGGTCCTAGCACCCAGCCGGAAGAGGAGCGGGCCTTTAGCCCTGGAAGCTGATTCTCCCATCTTCGTAGACAGAGTTGATTTCTTTGATTATCCAGACTCGGACCAAGCCAGCCTTCTGGCTGTGGCCCAGATTATCGGAGAGAAACCTGTCATCTTTGTTAAGACAGGTATGAACCAGTTGAAGGATGCACCCCTCCCTCCTGGCGGGGGGAGGGCTGGAGGAGAGCAGCCCTTTGAACCCGGCTTGTCTGGCAGATTCCGACCCTGGCCTCTTCCATCATATCCTGGTGACTGTCCTGGTGCTGGCTTTCTTGTTTCTCCTTTTCCAGTTCTGCACCCACATGTGAGGCGCCCCTGTGGCCCTGGCCCTCCCCCGCAACCTTCCCCCCACCCCGTGTGTCACCCACCCCTGTGATCCCCCCCATTCTCCCACAGGAGTTTTGAGAAAGGGGCTTAGGATTGGGAGAGGATCTCTGCGCGATGCACTGGGCTTTCTGGGATCCAGCTTCCCCGGCTGATTCAATAAAGGTCTTAGCTTTCACCTCTTCCTCCTAGTAACAGACTGGCTGGGATGGGAGGGTCCTGGGGAGGGGGAGGGTCGTCCCCCCCTTTCCATTCCCACCCCCCCATCCCTTCCCAGCCCCTAAAAACCAGGACTGGAACACCTTGGTGGCGTTCACGCAGATCGTCTTTATTAGCGGTCTGTAAAGTACCTCCCAGGCCCCCCCCAGGAACCCCAGACTGGAGGAAGCCTTAAGAGGTCGGTAGCACCAGGGACAAGCCAGGGCCCCGAGGGTGAGGTGCGTGCGCAGCCTGGTGGGAGGGGGGAGGCGGGGCACCCCTCACCTGCCCCTGGGGGGTGGGGTGGGTGCTCAGCACTGGGAAGGCCAGGGGGGGCAGGGCAGCAGCCACATCCCCACCCCCCAACCCCTACAGATTACTGTGATACGGGCGAATAAATAAAATAAATAAGATTCCTCAGGCTGGCCTCTCCAGAGAGAAGCCATGGGGGGGGACAATTGCCCTAACACAGCCCACGGGGTAGGGTAGGGGGGGCGGATGAGTTGGGGTTTCCTCTCTTCCCAGATGGATGGGGATAGCGAGAGATTGGGGGTGTGGGGGGGGTTTGTAGCAGAGTGGCCCACACCCCTGTCTTTTTTTTGACTCCTGGTCCCCGTGAGTCCCTGTCCTCTCCCTCAGGATGCTCCAGCCTCAGGGAGCATGTTCAGGGGGTGCAGGAGGAGGGCTCTGAGCGCCAACCCCCTCCCTGGCTTGGAGCATTGTGGGGGAGACAGGTTCCCCCACTCTCCCTGCCTTCGGTCACCGGTTCTCAGCCCCTGAGGGTAGGTGACCCCCCTTCCCCTTTTCGGAGTCTGCCTGATCAGCCTTGGGGTGGTCAAGGCGAGAGGCCCTGACCCCCACCCCAGCCCCCTCTCTCTCTCTCTCTCTCTCTCTCTCTCTCGTGGGGGCGTGGCGTGGAGGGCGCCCGGCCTCCCCCTCAGTCCTGGGTCTGACAGGGCGAGGGTGGTGGGGAGCCTCGGGGTCGGAAGAGGCGGCAGGCCCCGCGGCAGATGAGGAAGAACCAGTAGAGCTGGGGAGCGAGGAGCAAAGCAGCGCCCAGGTTGACGTGAGCCGGCAGGGCGAGCGGCACGGCCAGCAGGGGCAGGCCGGCGTGGCGCCCGTAGGCCCAGTACAGGTAAGGGAAGAGCAGCACCCGGCAGCACAGGAAGCTGAGCAGCATGAGGGCCCCGTTGACTTTGTGCAGCAGTGTGTGCTGCTGCTTGTACTACAGACGGAACAGACAGAGAGTAGGGTTGGAGGGTGGGGTGGGCCCATCTGCCCCCCTCCCCCCTTCCATGCCTGTGTTCTTCCCCCCCCATCTCCTCCCCTCCCCTCACCCCTCCAAGCTCTGGTCTCCTAAGGTATCCACTCACCTGGATAAGGATCTTGCCAAGACAGACAAAGGGGGTGCTGACCTCTGCCATCAACATGCAGCCCAGGAAGAAATCTCCTTTGCCCTGTCTCCACACCTTAGCAGGAAGAAGATGGTGAAGGTGATCCTTGCCTGCATTCTTCCCCCCACCCCACCCCCACCCCTCCGTTTTTCTTTTTTGGCCAGTCCTGGGGCTTGAACTCAGGGCCTGGGCACTGTCCCTGAGCTTCATTTACTCAAGGCTAGCGCTCTACCACTTGAGCCACAGCGCCACTTCCAGAAATCGAACCCAGGGCTTCATGCATGCTAGGCAAGCAGCTCTACCACTGAGCCACCTGGCCAGCCTCCCTTCTGACACTGCGCCCAGCTGGTACCCAGGACCCCCCCCCCACCGACCCCGTCCCCAGCTGCTGGCTGGGCAGCGATGGGGCACCAGCTCTCTGCCACTCAGTGCTGGGAGGACTTGAGGAGGACTCACCACAGACAGCGGGAAGCAGACGAGCACCATGGCGGCGTGATGGAGCACCATGAGGAACTCCTTGTGCAGGTAGCCCCGCACCACCGCCCAGGTGCTGCCGGGAGCTCGGGCCGCCCCGTCATCCCCTCCGTGCCCTTTGACCTGGTGCTTGTGCCAGTGGCACAAGAACATGGCGTAGATGTCGTAGATGAAATAGGGCACAGCAAACTGCGTGTAGGCAGAGGAGAGCCAGTGCCTGTTGGGCAGAAAGAGAGATGGGGCCCGGTGCTGGTGGCTCACGCCTGTCATCCTAGCTACTCAGGAGGCTGGGATCTGAGGATCGCGGTTCGAAGCCAGCCTTTGCGGGAAAGTCCCTGTGAGACGCTTAGCTCCAATTCACCAGTCAAACACTAGAAGTGGTGCCGTCGCTCAACGTGGTAGTGTTTCTTGCCTTGAGTGAAAAAGCTCAGGGACAGCCCTCAAGCTGAGAGAGAGAGAGATCACAGCAGAGAGGAAGCAGGCAACTCTCAAGTGAGCAGCTCTAGCCACATGAGCAAGATCTCAAGGGATCGCCCTGCAGAACTCCGAGACAGAAGCAAGTCTCAAGTTACAGATGCTGGAACTGAAGGAAGGAAGAGAGAGACCTGTCCAAGGTCGCACAGTCACGAAGCCAGAGAGCCGTAAGGCTGGGCCTCAAGCCAGCTAGACCTCAGAACCCACCTCTCCCTCTTTCTGTCCCCAATCTGTCTTTCTGTAATAATTGGGGGGGGGGGGAAGGAGGCTGGAGGGAGAGACCACAGAATACAGAATACCTATAGGTCAAAAAGCAGAGACTGAACCCAGCTTACAGCAGAGAGAAACTCGAGGTTACAGCACACAGCAGTGGAAAAAGCCCAACATAGAGTCTCTGCCTGCCCTATCCAAGCACCGACATTAATATCCAAATCTTCAGCCAGGCACTGGTGGCTCAAGCCTGTCATCCTGGCTATTCAGGAGTCTGAGAGCCAGAGGATTGCAGTTCCAGGTCAGCCTGGGCAGGAAATCAGTTGTGGACTCTTAGCTCCAAAGTAACCAGTAAGATGCAGGACTGGAGGTATGGCTCAAGTGGTAGAGTGCCAGCTGAGCAAACAAGCTGGTTAAGTGTGAGTCCTTCAGTTCAAGTTTGAAGAAAAGAAAAGAAAAGAAACAACAAACTTCTCATGGCTAACCTGGTTTGGTCCTCATCCAACCTCATAAAAGTGAGGTGTGGTTTTGATCCCCATGGACACTGAGTCTTGGAGAGGCTAGCCAATGTGGCCAAGGAATAACCAATGAGTCCTCATTCTCAATCCCACTGTCCCTAGAAGGTTTAAGAGATGGGCCCACTGTGGGTGGCTCATACCAATAATCCCAGCTACTTGAGAGGCAGAGATTGGGAGGTCCATGGTTTGAGGCCAACCAGGATAAAAGTTAGTGAGATTCCATCTCAACAAATAAGCCAAATGTAATGGGAGCAGGGCCCGAGGGCACATGGGAAGTATAGGTAGAAGGATTTCTGTCCAGGTTGGCTCTGAACAGCACAAAACCCGATCTAAAATATTGAAAGCAAAAGGGATGGCAGAATGGCTCAAGTGGTAGAGCACCTTCTTAGCAAGGATGAGGCCCCGAGGTAGTGTGCCTGTCTTGCATGCTTTCCTCAGCACCACATAAGCAGAAAAAGCCAGAAGTGGTAGAACACTGGCCTTGAGCTGAAGAGCCGAGGGACAGAGCCCAGGCCCAGAGTTCAAGCCCCACGACCAACCAAAAAAAAAAAATTTTGTTTTCAGAGCCATCAGAGCCAGACCTAATTGGCAAAACAGAGGTGCTGCCCCCCATCTCCTGTTTCTTCAGGTTCGGCCAAGCATGAAGGAGAAAATGCTGAGCAAAAAGCTGCTGAGAATGGAGAAAGGTCTATGGACTTTGTGAGTAAACAAAAAAGCACATGAATATGCAGCATTGCATTTTCCCTCCTGAGTCAGCACCTCTGCACTTTCCCTGAAACACTGTGGTCTTGAAACAGGGCTGGGGGAGGGCTGGGAGGTCAGGTGTGGGAGCCCAGAGCTGGTGGTTCCCGCCTGCAATCCCAGCAGCTCAGGAGGCTGAGATCTAAGGATCCATGTTTGAAGTCAGCTGGGGCAGATAAATCTGAGAGACCCTGAATCTCTAATTAACCACCAAAACAGCAACAACAACAACAACAAAACAGAAATGGAGCCATGGCTCAAGTGGTAGAGCACCAGCCTTGAGCAAAAATGCTAAGGAAAGTCGGGTGCCAGGGGTTCATGCCTGTAACCTTAGCTACTCAAGAGGCTGAGATCTGAGGATTCCAGTTCAAAACCAACCTGTGCAGGAAAGTCCGTGAGGCTCTCATCTCCAATTAACCACCAGAAAACCAGAAGTGGTGCTGTGGCTCAAGTGGTAGAGCACTACTAGCCTTGAGCTGAAGAGCTGAGGGACAGCGCCCAGGCCCAGAGTTCAAGCCCCACGACCGCCAAAAAAAAAAAAAAAAAACAACTAAGGGATAGTGTCCAAACCCTGAGTTCAAGCCTCAGTACCAACACACACACACGCACACACACACACACACGAGGTGGAACCTGCCTTGGATATTGGAGGAAGAAAGTAAAGTCAGCCACACTGTCATGTGAGCAGCTGCTGAGGCGAGGTGGGAAATCTGGGGCTTGAGGACAGGGCGGGGTGTGGCGAGCAGGCTGGCTGGCAAAAGCCAAGAGACCTCCTCCCTATTGAATTTCCAGGAACCCATGGTTGCACTGGCCTGGGGCATATTCTATGGGGGAGCTGGCAGGGGACAGGCAGCTGGTTGGGGGGGGGGGGAATGTCAGCAATAAGCCAGGCACCAGTAGCTCACGTCTGTCATCCTAGCTACTCAGGAGGCTAAGATCTGAGGATCATGGTTCAAAGCCAGCCTGGGCAGGAAAGTCTATGAGACTCTTATCTCCAATGAACCACCAGAAAACCAGAAGTGGTGCTGTGGCTCAAGGGGTAGAGCATTTGCATGGAGCTGAAATGCTTGGAGACAGCGCCCAGAGTTCAAACCCCATGACCGAAAAACAAAACAAAACAAAAGCTGGCAACAATACTCAAGAAAGGAAATGGAAAAGTTATAAGCAGGGTAGAGACTTAGAGAGCCAGCCAGCCGACAGGATGGAAGAAGGAGACCCCTAAGATCCTGGATTGTGAGGGACAATCAGAAAAGGCCCCAAGCCCTGGGCTACCATAAGAAGTATTCTGTCCTAGCCTCACCCTGTCAGCAATTAGGTGCTCAGAAGCCAGAGCAGCTGTTGCTCTGGGATTAACCCTGATCCTCCCACCTACCTGAGGATTAAAGGTTGGGGGGGGGCAAGAACAGACTTGGAGTGAGGAGTAGGGGCAAGAGCGAGAAGGTGACCTCTGGGTAAGAAGAAGGCGATGCCTGGAAGCCCAAGCTCATCGTGGACCTGGTGGTGGGAAAGGGTTGGGGGAGAAGTCAAGTAGCTGGTGTCTGGTTGGCTCACACCTGTCATCCTAGCTATACTCAGGAGGCTGAGATCTGAAGATCCTGGTTCAAAACCAGCATGGGCAGGAAAGTCTGTGGAACTTTTTATCCCCAGTGAAAACTACCAAAAAGCTGGCAGTGGAACTGTGGCTCCAGCGAGAGCAAGGGGGGGGGGGGGCTCAGGCTCTGAGTTCAAGTCCCTGTAGTGGCACAAAAAGTAAATATGAAATAGAAGCAGCCAAGTACTCGGTCTGAAGAAGAGTTAAGCATCTTTATGGAGGAGCAAAGAACCAATTCCAGGCATCAACTCATTTGCTCCTTACATCAGTCTTTCCAGGCAGCCCTGCCTCATTTCACAATGGAGGGAATTTATTATCTACGGAAAAACTGGAGCCAATAGAAAAAAAAAGGGGGGGGCACCTGGGTTACCCTGGCCATATTTTCTGGGTCTCAAAAGACACTGGAGAAGAAGAAGCAGAGCTGAAAGCTGAGCGGACATCCTGGACAGAGACACAAGCATCTCAGAGCAGCCTGTGGCCTGTTAAGAGCTGGTCAGCACCATGGACAGGGCCCATCTCTTCCTCCTCCTCCTCCTCCTCCTCCTCCTCCTCCTCCTCCTCCTCCTCCTCCTCCTCCTCCTCCTCCTCCTCCTGCCCCACCTCTCAGGCCTGGGCCATTTTGGCAAGGATTAGGCACTGCAGCAACTGCCTTTGCCAACTTTTGGCCCTCTTTACCCTCCTCCCTCCCCCACTGCCTGACCCTTAGTGGCTTTGTGTCATCTCTCCTCCTCTATGCATGGAGCTGGGCTGGGCATCTGGATTCTGGGAGGTGCTGGTGGGTGAGCCAAGAGAAGAGGGGACACCCCCACTAGAGTGCTGGTTAAGAAATGGGGTCCGAGAGGTGGGAGAGCAGGAGGAGGCTGGGGAAGAGGTGACATTCAGAAGCCACTACAATACAAGAGGTCTGGGAAGTCAACCAGGAGCTACTTTAAGGATTCTCTTTGATTCCGTCCCCTCCCCTCTCCCCCCCACCCCTCAATCCTGCCCCCCCTGGTTCTGACCTTTAAGAACCGGATGGGATAAATTTATCTCTGGGTGTTGAGTTGCAGTGGTTGTAAGAACTTGCTCAGACCCAAGCAAAGGGCTAAGGGGCCACTGACAGTTCCCTGAAGATCTGGGGTAGGCCAGGGGCCATGAGCAGAGGCGGGTGCATGGCACTTACTGGTCATCAATGATGTGTTTGCAGGAGGTGGACACGATGTACCCAGCTGTGGAGGCCATGATCGCTTGGACAGAGGACACCAGCCTAGAGAGACGAGCAAAGGGGGCAGAAGGCACAAGAGTATAAGGCCTGGCTTTCTCTGCTGCTCTGGAAACCTGGTCCACTTCTCAGCACCATTCCTAGCTCACCCTCCTCCCGGGGGCCTGGCTCCACCACCACCATCACCACTGCCACCACACCACTACCTCATCCACCCCAGCCCTCCAACTCAGTTTGAGGACACTGGGTGGCCTTCCTCCCAGGACATGAAGGAGGTCATCCTAAGGTGAGAGTCCAGGGAACAGCGGCAAAGAGCCAGGCCTCTCCCTGGAGAAGGACGGAGGGGACATCTAAGAGGGCAGAGAGATCCCTGAGCAGCTCCTGGACCACTGGGTCACCCGGTCTCCATGGTGATTGCTACCCTGGCCCCTGGCCCCACAGTGACCCCAAGTTTCTCTCAAGCTCCCCTCCCTCCCTGATGCTGGCCCCTTGTCCTGTATTGGTTGGGGACAAGTTCCACCATCTACTGCTTTGTGCCTTGTAACCCCCCCATGCCTCCCTCCTCCAGCCCCGGCCCCTGCAATCCATGGGGCTCACTACACCCCCACCGTATCTTATAAGAATGTTTGTCATCCCATGCTGGCCTGCTTTAGTGGATGTTGGGGTGAGCAGGAGGGGGAAGAGAAAGAACAGTAGTCGGTAGTAGTGGAAGCAGGCAAGCTGGGTGGCAATGAGATTTTCCTAGGAAGATAAGGCCCCGGGAGGGGGTGGGGGGAGAAGGAAGCGGGAGATAAAGCCCTTGGACCATCATGGGGGGTTCCTAGTCCACCCCTGGGGCCAAGGGTGCTCAGAGATCCCCACAAAGCCTGGCCAGACAAGGAGAGGGGCTGCGCTGAGGGAAGGGAGATGCGGGTTACCTGGCGGAGACGATGACGGCGTCGGGCTCCTCCCAGCGCAGCTGGGGCAGCCGCTGGAGAGTGTTCTTGGAGAGGAGAAAGAGTCCGGGGAACACCACCCCCCCAGCCACCATCGGGGCCAGCATGGTGGCTCAGGACTCCCCCCAGGCAGGGAGAGGAAGCCGGATGGAGAAGAGACCAGGGCCACGGAGCTGAAGGCAGTTGGGAGGTTGAAGAAAGGACTCCAAGCCAGAGAAAGGAAGAGCAGAAGGGCACAAAGGGGACAGGGTGGGGACAGCAGCGGGACGAGAGAGCCGGCCCAGGAGCTGGGAAAAGAGCTACTTGGATGAGACTAGGAGGGAGACGGCTGGCCAGGTCAGGAGCTGGAGGCTGGAATGGGGGGGGGGGTGCGGGGTGGGGGGAGCAGGAGGAAAGCGGGTGAGAGGCGACCAGGAGAGGACTTGGGGAGAGGACCGAAAGGGAGAGGGGACAGCAGGAGGATGCAGCTGGGGGAGGGGCGGGGAGGGGAGGGAGGGCGGCAGCACAGCAGGTGGGGGGGCTTACGTGGAGAGGCTGGGAGGGCTCCGAGGAGGCGGGGTGGGGGGGGGGGGAGACGATGGTGCCAGCCCTGAAGGGAGGGAGGGAGAGGACGGAGCCAGAGGAGCGGCTGGGCGGCGAGTGGTCAGCGGTCAGCTCTGCCCTGCCACCGCCGCCACCGCCTTCTCCCGCTGCCCAGCGTGGACGCTGCACATGGCATCCTAGCGCGTTGGTGCCCAGCCCCCTGCCCCCTGCAGGGGGAGGGGGAGGGGGAGGTGGCCAGCTTGGGAGGGGAGGGGGGAGGGAGGGGAAGGGGGAGGTTAAGGATGGCACCGACCGGACACACGGAGGAACTGGACCTGCAGCGGGCTTCTCCCAAGCAGCTCTGAGCACAGCAGCGGCTGCGACAGAGAGATTGGGGGGGGGGGGGAGCACAGAAAGAGGGAGGGGGAGGCCCTTAAAGAGACAGCATCTGCAGCACCAGGAGGTTGCTGGAGACAAGGGGGGGGGGGGGAAGGCGCTTCTCTTGGGAAAGAAGGTGACCCCTGGGGATCGCCACACCAGCCGGGAGGAAGGGACTCTGTATCCCCCAGATGGGCCTAAGAGGAGAAATGCCTGGCGTTTTCCTTTTCTGACAAGGCCACCCAACTGACCAAGGCAACCCAGGAGGGTGTGAGATGCCCAGCCTGGCATCACAGCTCAGAGCCCCGCCACCCCAGCCACCGGGGCTCCCTGGGAAAAGGAGCTTCCGGAAGAAGCACACACCTGCTGCCCCCCCCCCCCCACCAAGGAAGCCTTGGAGAGAAAGGACCCCCCCCAAGCCCCAAACACCTCACGCCTGGTGTCCCTCAACACCTGGACCCCTCTTCACTATTCATACCCTGCCCCAACCCAGTGAGGGGGGGGGGAAATTGATGCACCCCAGACTTTGCTTCCATAGGGCCCAGGTCCTTGCTTTACAGCCCCAGGCAGCAGGGCCTGGCCATTTGTGACCATCAGGAAAGGGTTCTGAGCCGTGGGTGACAATATTCTCCTGGGTTATAAAAAGTTAATATAAGGCAGCATCCCTCAGGCACCAGAGAGGTAATGAAGGGGCTTGAAAAAAGTATAAAATACAGCCCCCCGCCGGGCACCAGTTGCTCACGCCTGTCATCCTAGCTACTCAGGAGGCTGAGATCTGAGGATCGAGGTTCAAAGCCAACCTGGGCAGGAAAGTCTGTGAGACTCTTATCTCCAATAAACCACTAGAAAACCAGAAGTGGTGTTGTGGCTCAAGCAGTAGAGCGCCTTGAGCTGAAGAATGCAGGGACAGCACCCAGGTCCAGAGTTCAAGTCCCACAACCACCACCACCAACAACAAAAAATATAGCCTCCAGAGAAAACCCACCTGGAGCCTGAGTAGGCCTCTCCTGGGCTGTTGGCCTTTCTCAGCTTTCTGAAATGCTACCTACCACTTTCTCTCCCTTTCATTGTGCTCTTGGCTCCCTCCTCCTCCTCCTCCTTTCTTTCCTCCTCCTTCTTCTTCTTCTTCTTCTTCTTCTTCTTCTTCTTCTTCTTCTTCTTCTTCTTCTTCTTCTTCTTCTTCTTCTTCTTCTTCCTCCTCCTCCTCCTCCTCCTCTTCCTCCTCCTCCCCCTCCCCTCCTCCTCCTTCCTTCTTTCCTTCCTTCCTTCCTTCCTTTCTTCTTTTTTCTTCTTTTCTTCTCCATCAGTTGTGGGGCTTGAACTCAGGGCCTGGGCGCTGTCCCTGAGCCTCTTTGTGCTCAACGCTAATGCTCTACCACTTCCCGTTTTTGAGTGGTTAATTGGAGATAAGAAGTTCACGGGGATTTTTCTGCCTGAGCTGGCTTCGAACCATGATCCTCGGATCTCAGCCTCCTGAATAGCTAGGATGACAGGGGTGAGCCACCGGTGCCCAGCGCCTGACTCTCTTTCCTCTGCCATGTCACATAACAGCCTTGTTTCTCAGGGAGAAAAAGGGAGTTGTTTTATTCAGTCCCCTCATTCACCCATAAAGAAACTGAGGCCAGTGTCACACCAAAGGTCAGTAGCCTGGCTCAGCTCTGAGATGGTACTTCTCACTGTTTCCGTGGCCTCCCTGGACCTCTATCTGTGTGTCCTGATCCCAACTATCCTACAGACAGTTCTTTGCTCTCCTTTCTGGCCCTGAGATTCCCCCTCTATAACCAACTCTGCCATTGGCCTTTCCAGACTAAAGCCCACTCATTCTCTGGCCTCTCCTACAGGCCAACAGCTGTGATTTGCAGTTTCATGCTGCCCTCTGGTGGCAAGATATAGGAAAGACCGGAGCATAACCAGACAGTGAGAAATAATACAGACCTGACTTCCTAACCTCAGGGCTGAAGGAAAAGAGACCCCCAACCTCCTAAGTTTTACTATATTCTGGGCACAGAAAGGATTTATATATCCTTGAATCTCCTCAGGTGAGGGAGAAAAATTAACAAGTTTAGGAAACAAAAACTTGGTGAAATATGTTGGCTAAAGTGAGATTTCAAACCTGTGTTTGCTTGGTGGTTGATTGGAGATAAGAGTCTCACTGACTTTCCTGCCTGGCCTGGCTTTGAACTGTGATCCTTAGAGCTCAGCCTCCTGAGTAGCTAAGATTACAGGCAGGAGCCACCAGCACCCCGCTCTTTGCAAGAATTTTCAATCCCTCAGAGACTTTCACTCACATTACAGGCAGGAGCCACCAGCACCCCGCTCTTTGCAAGAATTTTCAATCCCTCAGAGACTTTCACTCACATTACCTTCACATCACAAGCCCTTTAAGAAGCTTGTGTTATTTTTAAACTCCTTTCCATAGGAGAGGTCTAGATTTCCAAGTTAAAGTGTGATTGTTTTAAGATTTGACTCTTTTTTTGCCAGTCCTGGAGCTTGAACTCTGGGCCTGGACACTGTCCCTGAGCTTCTTTTGCTCAAGGCTAGCACTCTATCACTTGAGCCATAGAGCCATGTCTGGCTTTTTCTGTGTATATGGCACTGAGGAATTGAACCCGGGGCTTCATGCATGCAAGATAAGCACTCTACCACTAAGCCATATTCCCAGCCAAGATCTGACTCTCAAACTTACTGTACCCCCGGCCCAACATAGTGTCTACTACCAGCTCCCCCTATAATGAGATCCCCCCAGGAAGATACCCTCACTCTATCTACTTACTTGGATGCCACCAAAACAGCCTCTCGTGTCTCCATCTGCAGGCTAGTGTGGTTCTGTAGGCCCCAGCGGATGGTTGCAAAACACAGTGGGAAGAAGATGCAACCTAGTACAAACAGCAGGAGCATGCCTGTCTGAAGAAGAGAAAGGAAAAGATGACCATGGACATCTCAGCACAACATCCTGAACTTTTCCTTTCAGCCTCCTCCACCTCTAAAGACCCAATCACCTATCACTGTGAAAGGCCGGCAAAGCTGAATACAGTGACTCACACCTGTAATCCCACCTATTCAGGATGCTGAGATCCCTGCTCAAAGCCAGCCCAGGCAGGAAAGTCTGTGAGACTCTTATCTGCTCTACTCTGTCTAGGGTCACTGTGAGAGTTAAATGGAGAGAATAAATGACTTCCCACAGTGTTCAAGCTGCTATCCTTTCAAGCATCCATAGTGTATACACACTGAGCTATCTTTTGGTAAATGCTTGCCTTTGTCCCTTCCTGCAATCATATACTCAAGTCCCCTCTGACTATTGAAGAAACTGAGGCTCAGAGTGGTCAATGCCTTGTCCTAGGACACACAGTAAGTGGCAGAGCTGCTGGAGAGGAGACAGGGAGGAGAGGAGACAAAGGGAAGGCAAGGAGAAGGAAGGAGGAGAGACAATGGCCCTGGAGTACCCAAGGATGGCTTTCCTGTGGACCTGTGGCTTACCCTGGAATGTAGAATTCAGAAGGGAAAAAAACTCCCCTGCCAGGAGCTGGCAAAGATGCTCAAGTTTCATTGGAATCTGGACTCTTACATTTCTTTCCTTCCTTGTCAATTTCTTCTTGTTTCAGGCAAAATAGTCCAAGATTGCACAGGCTTGTCTGCGAAATGAATGATGAGGGGAGACCGCAATGAATTACTGCAAGGCTTTGTTGCTTTGTAAAAGCAGAGTGTGTGTGTGTGTGTGTGTGTGTGTGTGTGTGTGTGTGTGTGTGTGCGTCCTGGGGCTCGAACTTAGGGCCCTGAGTGCTGTCCTTTTGCTTTTATTTTTTCTTCACTCAAGGCTAGTGCTCTACCACTTGAGCCACAGCTCCACTGCCAGCTTTTTGCTGGTTAATTGGACAGAAGGGTCTCAGAGACTTTCCTGCCAGAACTGGTTTTGAACTGTGATTCTCAGATCTCAGCCTCCTGAGTAGCTAAGCTTACAGGTGGGACCCACCAGGGCCCAGTTAGTAAATGGCTTTGTTTTCTTTTTTTTGCCCCATTTGACCTACTCATATTTGTACACTTCCTGGGTGTCCAGTACCCAGCCATACCTTTATATACAATAGGTATTGTAGCTCTCCCTAAGACCTCCCAGAGAGATTACCTGGGCTAACTCTGCAGACAGCTGAGGGAAGTCAAGCAAGCCCATCCAGATAGTAGCTGGGCTATGAACCTAGTAGCCTGACCTCTAGTATGGGCTTTTAACTTTGTCTTCCAAGAGGAAGTAATTTTTAGAAGACCAAGTCATTTGCTGGTGGTACATGCCTGTAATCCTTACTACTCAGGAGGCTGAGAGTTGAGGATCCTGGTTTGAAGTCAGCTCAAGCAGGAATATCTGTGAGACTCTCATCTCCAATTAACCACCAAAAAAAAAGCTGGAAGTGGAGCAGTGGTTCAAGTGGTAAAGTACCAGCCTTGAGTGTAAAAGCTCAGGGATAGAACCTTGAATTCAAGCTCAGGACTGGCACAGGAAAAAGAAAGAGAAGGCAGGCAGGCAGGCAGGCAGAAAGGAAGGAAGGAAGGAAGGAAGGAAGGAAGGAAGGAAGGAAGGAAGGAAGGAAGGAAGGAAGGAAGGAAATAAAACACCAACATGATTTGTAAATAGACAAGCAACTAAAAATTGAGAAAATTGTGTAAAATGAAAATGAGTAAGAGCTGGGCGCCGGTGGCTCACACCTGTAATCCTAGCTACTCAGGAGGCTGAGATCTGAGGATTGCAGTTCAAAACCAGCTTGGACAGGAAAGTCCAATAAACCACTCAGAAAACTAGAAGTGGTGCTGTGGCTCAAGTGGTAGAGCGCTAACCTTGAGCTGAAGAGCTGAGGAACAGTGCCCAGGCACAGAGTTCAAGCCTCACAACCGACAAAAAAAAAAAAAAAAAAAAGAGAGAAAAGAAAATAGAACAAAAATATCTATTGAAATTGTTTTAAGAAGGGGGAATGGGCTGGGGGCTAGTGGCTTATGCCTGTAATCCTCAGGCTGAGACCTGAAAAACAATGCTTGAAGCTAGCCAGCTCAGGCAGAAAAGTTAATGAGACTCTAGGCTGGGAATGTGGCCTCGTGGTAGAGTGCTTGCTTGCAAGCCTAGTGTGCATGAAGCTTGGGGTCCCTCAGTATCACATAAACAGAAAAGGCTGGAAGTGGCACTATGGCTCAAGTGGTAAAGTGCTAGCCCTGAGCAAAAGAAACTCAGGGACCGTGCCCAGGCCCCATGATCAACAACAACAAAAAAAAAAACAGCTAAGAGACAGCACCCAGGCTCTAAGTTCAAATTCTTGTACTAGCACGTGCATACATACATACACACACACACAACACACATATGTAAAATAAAGTGACTCACTTTAATATCCAAGCAAGACAGCAGTATCCCCTACTACAGTCCTGGGAGGCTGGGCTGCCTCAGATTCAGTTAAAGAAAAGATAAGATATGCAAGATAAGATAGAAGATAGAAAGGTGTGAAAGGGCTCTTGGCAGCAAATTGGTGGAATTGGAAAGACAATTGTGTGTGTGTGTGTGAGAGAGAGAGAGAGAGAGAGAGAGAGAGAGAGAGAGAGAGAGTGCCCACCCACGCATGCACATGCATTTTTTGCTGAACTTGTATGCCATCCGAAATAACCACCTCCAAGCCTGTGCTGGTGGCTTCCACCTGTAATCCCAGCCACTCAGGAGGTTGAGTTCTGAGAATCACAGTTCAAAACCACTTCGGGCAGGAAAGTCTCTGAGACCCTTCTGTCCAATTAACCAGCAAAAAGCTGGCAGTGGCGCTGTGGCTCAAGTGGTAGAGCACTAGCCTTGAGTGAAGAAGAGCGCAGGGACAACACTCAGGCCCTGAGTTCAAGCCCCAGGACTAACAAAAAAACATATAAAATAAATAAAAATACACCTGCTCCCCGCCAGTGGGAAACCCTCCACTCCCTCAGTAACCTCATCTGGTGTTCTAGAAAGTAGCTGGAGAGACAGATCCACCACCAGCCAGTCCTGGCCTGGGAGCTCAGCCAGAAAGCACAGAGCCAGTGGTGTGGGCGGGGCCTGGTGCCTTCCCTCACCAGGTGTCCCCGGGGACTTGCCATCAGGTGACCCTGGGCTTAGACTTTACCGGTTCCCCGTGGCTTCAGGTTCGGCTGCGCAGGGGCCGCCGTGGTGTTCATCCTCTGTACCTGGGCACTGGCTCCTCCGCGCTGCCGCCGTGCAGCTCTGATAACATCGCAGGCTGTGAATAAGTGGCCAGTGAGCAGCCAGGAGCGCCTGCTCCCCACCTGATACCCACACCAGGGTCCGATTCCCCCCCCTACACCCGTGCCCCGCTGAGAGTCCTAGCCAGGGCGTCCAGGCATGTATTATTTAGTCCTTTTTGTTTGCACCTGCCCCTGGTGAGGTACAGTTCCAAACTACTGTGGTTTGCAAAGAAAAGTGGGGGTAACAACAGGTATGAGGAGGCAGACAATTCAGGGGCTAAGGCCTTTTGTTTTCCCATGGCCTGGCTGTGTGATCTTGACCAAGTTTCAGAACCTCTCTGAGCTGCTGTCACATATTAGAAAAGCCCCATTGTTTGAGCCTGAATTTTTGAGTTCAACAACTCACTAGCCAGGAAACTTGCTCAACTCCTGTGAGCCTCCAGTTGCTATCAATGGGACAATGGTAGGAGTGCGTGTATATGTGTGTGTGTGTGTGTGAGAGAGAGAGAGACAGAGAGAGACAGAGAGAGAGAGACAGACAGACGGACAGAGACAGAGAGGCAGAGACAGAAACAGAGACAGAGAGTGCTGAGGCTTGAACTCAGGGCCCCTAGCTGCTGTCCTATAGCTTCTTTCATTCAAGGATGGTGCTCTACCACTTGACCCAAACCTCTACTTCTGACTTTTGTGTGGTTTAATTGGAGTTAAGAGTCTCATGGACTTTGCTGCCCAGGCTGCCTTCAAACTGTGACCCTCAGATCTCAGCCTTCTAAGTAGCCACTGCAGCTGGGCAAGAACTTTACAAAGTACTACTTAGTGATTCAAGAGCTCAGTAAGTCGGGCGCTGGTGGCTCATGCCTGTAATCCTAGGCCAGCTCGAGCAGGAAAAGTCTGTGAGACTCTTATCTCCGATAAACCACTCAGAAAACCAGAAGTGGTGCTGTAGCTCAGGTGGTAAAGCATTAGCTTTGAGCTGAAGAGCTAAGGGACAGTGCCCAGGCCCAGAGTTCAAGCCCCACAACCACCAACAATAACAACAAAAAGCTCAGTGTAAGGCACAGTTCCAATATTAGTGTACCTTTTGGGATTCATGAATGATTGTTTTTCTTCTTGTTTGTTCTCTGTGAGGCAGGGGATTAATCTGGGGCCTCATGCTAGGGAAGCACTCTACCACTGAGCCACACCCCCACCTCATATATATATTTTATATATATATATAATATATATATATGTATAATTAATTTTCAGAGCCTCACTCTGTAGCCCAGGCTGGCCTCAAATTCACAATCTTCCAGCCACAGCCTCTACGTGCTGGGATCACAGTGCTGGAGTACTAGCCTCCAGTACAGCTTTTTTGTTTCCTCCGGGATGATGAACTACGTACAGGCCTTTCATTTTTCTTTTCTTTCTTTCTTTTTTTTTGGTCAGTCATAGGTCTTGAACTCTGGGCTGGGCGCTGTCCCTCAGCTCTTCAGCTCAAGGCAAGCGCTCTACCACTTGAGCCACTTCTGGTTTTCTGGTGGTTAACTGGAGATAAAGAGTCTCACAGACTTTCATGTCCAGGCTGGCTTTGAACCGAGATCCTCAAATCTCAGCCTCCTGAGTAGCTAGGATGACAGGCGTGAGCCACCGGCACCCGGCTCATTTTTCGTATTATGGAAGTTGGCAAACCTTTTTCCTAATCTCTAGGTGAGTATTGTCTGATAGTTTTAGGAAGGGCTGCAGGATTATCCAGTTTTTCTTTTTTCATCTCTCCCTCCTCCTCCTTCTCTTCCTCCTCCTCTTATTTTCCTCTTCTTCTCTGAATCCCTGAGCCCTCTTATGTCTCCCATTCCTCACGCAGCTCACAACCCAGAGTGACTACTCCTTTTCTCCCCATCCCAGGGGCAGTGCAAAAATGACCTATACCAGCTGACACCTCCAGTTCTGAACCTCCAGGAGAGGGAGGCCTAGTGGTTATCAGCTCTTGGGAAGTCAGTGAGGGTCAGCCTCCCAGAGATGGTAACATGTGGGCAGAAGCAGAGCCTTGGCAAAGTGGGATGAATACACCACCCATCCTCTTGCGTTCCTGGCAGCAAGCAGACCTGCATACTATGGGAGCCAATAGTAGGAACAGAACACCATCAGCAGAGAGTCTGACCACTGCAGCCCATGGATGTGTTTGGCGCCCCTTGCCAAGACTAATGGTTCTCTGTTGGCAGGGCTGAAGAAGGGAGAGAGGATGTATTCCCAGAAGTCTTTTCTGGGGCTGAGATGGGAATGGCCTCATTCTTAAGACTCTCAAAAAAGAAGACAAGCTGAGCACAGTGGCTCACACTTTTAATCCTAGCTACTCAGGAAGCAGAGGTTTGGGAGGCTTGAGGCTGGCAAAGGAAAAAAAAAGGGGGGGGGGGCTGGGAAGGTGGCTCGGTGGTAGAGTGCTTGCCTTGCATGCATGAGGCCCTGGGTTCCATTCCTCAGCAGATAAAGCTGGAAGTGGGGCTGTGGCTCAAGTGGTAGAGCACTAGCCTTAAGCTGAAGAGCTGAGGGACAGCGCCCAGGCCCAGAGTTCAGGCCCCATGACCGACAAAAAGGAAAAAAGAAAAAGAAAGGGAAAACAAAGTTAGAGATTTTACCTTGACTTACAAGGCAGGTATGGTAGTGTATGGCTGTCATTCCAACTATTTGGGAAACTGGGAGATAGGATCCATGAAGTTTTAGGCTGGCTCTGGGCAAGAATGTGGGACCTGAAAAACAACTAGAGCAAAAAGCACTGAGGTCAAAATGGATCAAGTGGTAGAACACTTGCCTAGCAAGCAGAAGCCTCGAGTTCAAATTCTAGCACCACACCCACACAGACCCAATGAGACAATCTGTCCCTGGTTTTGAATCAACAGTGGTGACATTTGGGAACAGCTAGTCTCCTATTTTCTGGGTTGAAAATCCTCTCTGAAGCCAGGCTCACTCCTGTAATCCTAGCTACTCATAAGACTGAGATTTGAGGATCATGATTCATAGCCAGCACGGCCAGGAAAGTCCCTGAGACTCTTATTTCTAACCAATCACCAGAAAACTGGAAGTGGTGCTCTAGCTGTGGTTCAAGTGGTAGAGCACTAGCCTTGAGCTGAAGAGCTCAGGGACAGCGCCCAGGCCCAGAGTTCAAACTCCACCACTGACAAAAGAAAAAGAAAAAAAAATCCCCTCTGAGAAGCCAGGGGCTGCTGGTACTTCTTGGTGTGGTTGATGTGGAAGGCATGATTCAGAGTCCAGGGAAACCAGGCTCTGGCAACTTCTGTAGGTGCCTTGTGGCATGAGAAAACTCGAGGGACAGCAGCAAGGTACAATGGAGTGAACATAGGAGGAGCATCTTGGCATTGTGCTGAGGAGGAACTAACAGGAGCCTGGGTGCCCTGAGAGCCAAGGGAACAGGACTTCTGCACTCAGAGAATCTGAATCTATTTTCCTAGGATCCCCAAGACTAGACAGAGCTGCGTAAGTGAGGGCCAGAGGCTGATGTGGACAGTACCTTGTGATAAGGCTGAAGAGGGCTGGGACTGTGGCTCAGTGGTAGAGTATTTGCTCAGCATGCATGAAGCCCTGGGTTTGATTCCTCAGTACCACATACACAGAAAAAGGAGGTGGAGCTGTGCTCAAGTGGTAGCATGCTGGCTTTGAGCTCAAGAGCTGAGGAACAGTGCCCAGGCCCAGGCTGAAGAGTAGGATCTATCCAGGCCTGTGGGTATGCGGCTCCATCTTGGACAGCAAGACCTACAGGGGCAAAATCAGCACCCATGGGAGGGAAGATGGAGTTTATCAGGGGAGGGAGGGGACTTGTGATGGGTCCTTTGCACTGACTTACAAACTTTCAGCTAGTCTTGTTAGGTGGAGCCCTGAAGAGTTGATAGGTCCCTAGATTTTTGTTTTTATAAATATTATCTGAACTCTCTCCTACAGTTTAATGTCAGAAACTGGATGGCAGAAATTTTGCCTTAAACTGTGATCTTCCCTGCACCTCTTGCAGGGTGTGTAGTGAATGAACAGATGGAAAGTAAGTGGAGCTCAGGGTGGGCCAGTGAACCTGGAATTTATCCTGGAGTCAGTGGAAAGCCTTTCTGGAGGTTGAGGAGTGGGATTAAAGAAGAAGCCAGCCTGGGCAGGAAAGTCTTGAGACTCCTGATCTCCAATGAACCACCAGGAAACCGGAAGTGGTGCGGTGTGGCTCAAAGCGGTAGAGTGTTAGCCTTGAGCAAAAGAGCTCCCGGCCAGGGCACAGGCCACGAGTTCAAGCCCTACACCAGGAAAAAAAGGAAAAGGGAAGGAACACGATCTACGCGCCATGGGTGGAGGAAATCATTGTAAGTGATGAGAAGACTGGGGAGCGGGAGGAGGAGGATAAAAGTAAAAATGGAGAAGAGAGGTCAGGTTGAAAAAATAAGGATGATTCCATAGAATTAACGAATTGGCTTTGGTGTTTTGTTGTTTATAAAAATCCCTGTGAAGGAAGCCGTCCATCCTCTTGCAGATGAGGAAATGGACTCAGCGAGGCTCAGTACTTGGCCCAAATCACACAGCAAGTTGGTCCTGTAGCTCGGGGGGGCTCAGTCCTCTCTGGAGAGCCTCCCCCGCCCCCCCTGCCCCCCAGGACCCCCGGTGCCTCCTCTGACATCCGGCACCTGAAGAGGATGGGGATCTAGGCCGGAGATGGTGAGAATTCGCTAATCCCGGCCCGGTGGCGGCGGCGCAGCCCGGAGGATGGCGAGGAGGATGGAACCTGTGGCCGCGGATGATCGGGCGGCGGGAGAGGCCCGGCGGGAAGAGCGAGTTGGGTCCCCGCGGCCGCCGTAGCGCGGCGCCGCGGTCGCCATGGCAACGGCGGGAAGCCGCGCCGGGCTGCGGGGCGGTGCTGGCTCGGCGGCCGATTGGACCCCGCGTGGCGCGGAAATCTGCGAACGGCCCGCGGCCCCGAGGGTGCGGCCGGCCGGCGGACGGGTGGTCGCTGGGTGCGGGGATCGTCGCGGGCGGCGGGCAGGTGCGCTTCGGGCCGACGCGGGGATCTCCCCCGAGGGAGGCGCCGCCCTCCAGCACCCCCCCGAGGTCCCACCCCCTCCGCGGCCATCGCGGGGCCTCAAGTTCCCCCCTCCGAGGGAAGGGTGGCGGGGAACGGGCGCCGCTCGGCCCTGAGCCCACCTCCGTCTCTCCCCCGCAGCTCCCGGACGGCAGGCGCGGCCCCGCCCCATGGACGTGAGTCCCGCCAGGCCCCCCTCCCCCGAGCCCCGCGCTGGCCTCACTGTCCGCACGGGGGGGGGGGGGCCGGGGGAGGGTGAGGAGGGGGTGAGGAGGGGAAGGCCAAGACCCGATCGGTGCGGGGTGGACTTCCCAGGGGACAGCAAATCCCCGTCCAGATAAAGGGTTTACTAAGTAATGGGGGGGGGGGGGGGACAAAGGCATTGTGGGATTGTGGGCAGGGCAAAGCAGTACAGGCAGAGGCTCTGTGTGTGTGTGTGTGTGTGTGTGTGTGTGTGTGTGAGAGAGAGAGTGATCAGGGGGACAAAGGCATTGTGGGATTGTGGGCAGGGCAAAGCAGTACAGGCAGAGGGGTGTGTGTGTGTGTGTGATCAGGGGGACAGGCAGAGGGGGTGTGTGTGTGTGTGTGTGTGATCAGGGGGACAAAGGCATTGTGGGATTGTGGGCAGGGCAAAGCAGTACAGGCAGAGGTGTGTGTGTGTGTATATGTATGTGTGTGTGTGTGTGTTTTTGTGGGAGGAAGAGAGACACCCTCAGGGCTAGACTGGGATTGGGAGGATAGGAGGGTGGGAGGGAGGGGGAGAGAGGGATGCACAGGAAGCTGATGTGAAAAACCGACAAACCAGCCAGCTGGATGAAATCTGGGGGTGTGCAGGTAATGTGGGCTGGGGGAAGTGAAAGCCGTGGTTCGGGCAGTCAGGTACAAGAACTGTGTTGGGAGAAGCATTCTGAAAAAGAAAAAAAAAAAGCAGTAAGTTGTCAGTCTTGGAAAGTTCTAGAATGACCAACAAGTATTTGGTAAAATGAAGATGGAGGAAAGGGAAGCCCGCTTGGGGATAAGATGATGAGACTCAGCAGCGTCATCCTATCGCCTCTCCCCCCACCCCAAGCCACCTCTGTGTCCCTCATGTTACTCCTGTGTGTCTGTAGCTCCTGCTACCTCCCTATCACCCCTTCCTCCTCTGCTTGCCCAGGTCTCTAGCTCGTGGAACCCAGCCCCGGCCTCTGTCAGCAGCCCTCCCTTGCTGCTCCCCATTCCTGCCATCGTCTTCATCGCCGTGGGCATCTATTTATTGCTCCTGGGCCTGGTGCTGCTGACCAGGCACTGCCTGCTGGTGAGGAACTTGGTGGGGAGTTACAGGATGGGCTCTGGGGACGAGAACTGATCAGTGTGTCCCCTCACCTACAGGCTTTTATCCCGAAACACCTCTACCGCTTCACACTTACCTGCTCCTAGTCAACCCTTCTGCCCCGGTCTCAAAAGCCAGTTTGTTTTGTTTTGTTTTTGCTGGTGCTGGGGCTTGAACTCAGGGCCTGGGTGCTGTCCCTGTGCTCCTTTTGTTTAAGGCTAGCACTGCATTCATTTCCAACTTTTTCTGTGATTAGTTGGAGATAAGAGTCTCATGGACTTTCCTGCCTAGGCTGGCCTTGAACCACAATTCTCAGATCTCAGACTTCCTGAGTAGCTAGGATGACAGGCATGAGCCACTGGCGCCTGGTATCCAAAGCCAGTCTTATCCTACCTCTTGCCTGGCCCAAATCCTGAGTGCTGTCATCTTTTAGGCCCAGGGTTGCTGCACTGACTGCAGCTTCACCTGCAAGAAGCAAGGTGCCTCTGAACCCCAAGATTGCTGCTGGACCTGCGCAGAAGCCTGTGACTTCCCTCTGCCCAGTCCAGCCCACTACCTGGATGCCTGCTGCCCCCAGCCCAGTGAAACTGTGAGTGCCACTCATACCCTTGGGCCACAGATCCTCGATCTGAGTATGAGCTGTCCTTCATTCTCTCTTTCCAGCCTTTTTATTAACTGAGTACCAACTCTATACCAAGCATGGTTCCGGAGTTACGTGGAGCCAGCATAAACACCATCCAGCTTTTTGGCTGGTTAATTGGGGATAAGATTCCCATGGACTTTCCCACTCTGGGAAAGTCCTTCTAACGACAGTCCTCAGATCTCAGCCTCTTGAATAGTAGGATTACAGGATTATTGGCTGCCACTGAATATTCAGGGTTGACCCTGACACAGAAGATGAGCCCATTTCTACAGTTGTGGGAGAAAATATATTAAGCCTTAGGCAAACTCTTGGTCCGGAAATCCCTGGCAGATGTTTTAAGTTTCAAAATAAATTGGGGTAAGGAGCTTTTCTGTCATAAATCTACTTCTGGTTCCCTAGGGATAGTCAGGAGAGGGGCTCCAGGGGTTTGGGTTGATAGGGCAGAGGGTAAAAAATGAAGACCTTGGGCCGGACGCTGGTGGCTCATGCCTGTAATCCTAGCTACTCAGGAGGCTGAGGTCTGAGGATCACAGTTCAAAGCCAGCCCAGGCTGGAAAGCCTGTGAGACTCTTATCGTCAATGAACCACCAGAAAACCAGAAGTGGCTCTGTGATTCAAAGTGGTAGAGTACCAGCCTTGAGCAAAAGAGCTCAAGGATAGCACCTGAGCCCTGAGTTCAAGCCACATAACCACCACCACCACCACCAACAAAATGGAGACCTTGGATTATCAAAACTCTGGTTGGAGCTGCTCAGTTACAGAATTTCCTCTCTCCTGAGGACACTGTCCTCTTCCCTGTCTGGCCACACAAAGGGAATAGTCTGGCCATTTTCTCCTTAGGAGAGGATGGACTGAGGTGACTTTAGAGAGTCAAAGTATTCCACCTGCTGGTTCAGGAATTTCCCAAACTGTAGCCTTCAGGATCTGGCCTTATCTAGTTTCTGCTGGAACCTGGAAGAAATCTGGAAGAGTTCTGGGCTAACCCGGAGTGGGGCTCTGATTCTGTCCTTGAGTTGTCTTTCTTCAAAGTACATTGAAGTCTCTGTGTTCTCCTCTCCTTATAGTAACAATAACAACCACAAAGGTAACAAAGCTCTTGCCTGTTCAATAGCTTTAGACACTAAGGCTCATAGATACTTCAGTGACTTGCCTGAGGTCATGGAGCTGGGCCAGCCAGACCATAAACCAGGCTTCTCATTGCCTCTGGGAGACAAGCCTGCCTGCTGTGCTGTTCTGTGGTGAGGGTTGAATCCCTACCTTCATTTCCCCTCTACCACCACCACGTGTGTATGGAGTCACTGCTGACTCTGGGCTGGACCCTGGAACTTGACCATAGACCAAATCCTTTGTCTTGGGGGATCTCCCAGGACAGAGAGATAGGTAAGCTATGACAGTAGAGTAGGGGAAAGATCAGCTGTGCATGAGCTCTGCCTGCGTGTGATCCGAAGCAGATAAGACACTTCAAAAGAGTCAGGCCTCCAGGCCCCTCACAAGATAGAACAGAAGCATTGACTTAAAAAAAAAAAAAAAAAAAAAGTTAGCCAGGTACTGGTAGCTCATGCCTATAATTCCAGCTACTCAGGAGGCTGAGATCTGAGGATCATGGTTCAAAGCCAGCCCGAGCAGGAAAGGTCATGACACTCTTATCTCCAATAAACCACCAGAAAACCAGAAGTGGCGCTGTGGCTCAAGTGGTAGAGCGCTGGCCTTGAGCTGAAGAGCTGAGGGACAGCACCCAGACCCAGAGTTCAGGCCCCTTCATCTAACGATGAAGCTAGTTCTCTTTCTGTGTATGCTGGACCTTGGATTTGAACTCAGTGCCTGGGGGCTGTCCCTAAGCTTTTATGCTCAAGGCTAGTGGAGCCACAGCTCCACTTCTGGCTTTTTGGTGAGGTAAGAGTCTCTTGGACTTTCCTGCCTGGGCTGGTTTTGAACTATGGTCCTCAAATCTCAGTCTCCTGAGTAGCTCCAATTACAGGCGTGAGCCACTGGTGCCGGCTAGCGTGCTCTTTCTCCCAGCACTCACGAGGTGTCAGACATGGAACTCAGTTCTTTCCAGATTCCCAGCAGTAACTTTGTGAAGCAGGTGTTCTATTTGTTCCAGAGATGATGAAATTGAGGTTCAGAACATGAATTAGCCAAGCTGAGATTTAAATCCAGGTCTTCCTAGCTTTAGGGCCTGAACTCTAACCAATAAAGATGGTAACTGCCACCCCCCCCCATCTCTCTCTTGGCCCCTCTGTCTCTCTCTCTCTCTCTCTCTCTCTCTCTCTCTCTCGGCCTCTGTGTCTGTGTCACCAAGTAGTGGAAACTTGATACAAATGTTAATTGTTTGCAAGGAGTAACAATTCTTTTTCTGTGGGAAAACTTTCAAAGTGAAAAACTCATTCAGGAGCAGAGAGGCATGTAAGGGGTTAACAGGCTTGTGGAGTTCTTGTTTAATGTACTTAAACAGCAGATTCCTTCCAGAAGCCACTGTTGTGAGTCAAGAAATCCATTAGCCTGTTATTAATGACTCCATCTAAACCCTTCTGTGGACACAGCCAAGAGATGCTTTTAATGCCCTTCTTTTCTGAGGTAAGGCAACAGGGCCTCTCAGCCTCCAGCTCTGCACAGAGAATGAGTGTAAGGCCTCTAAAAACCCACAGCATGGGGCTCCCTGGAGATGCCTCCAAACCACCCCCTCATCAACACCAACAAAACCCACCTCTGGTCTCCCACCAGGGTTCTTCCTACCTTCTCTGGCTGTTGGCAATAGTACAGCCAGCTTCATAGCCCCTTCTGTCAGATCCCCTCCCCTTGCTGGAGCCCCTAGTGAAAGCTGATCTCACCAGTCATCTGACACCGCACCCCGAAACCTCAGCTGTTGGAAAGGTCATTTCCCTATTCCTGGCTTGGCCCAGGTCTCTGATTGAGCTGTGCAACTGTGTCACTAGCTCCCCTTCTGGCCCTGAGGAGCCAGTCTTCTGTCCCACTTCGGCCCCTTGGCCGGCCTCCAGTCCATGCCCCTGGCAGTTGCAAATCATTCCCTTCCCAGGGTGGAGGAGCGTGCACTGCAGGGGTTACAGCTTCCCATTTTGTCCCTAAGGACATGATGTTCCTTCTCCCCAAGAGACAAGTCTGTTTCCTTGGAGCCCAGAGCCCTCTTCTGTCTGCCTACGGAGGGAAAACGATCTGCTTCACTTCATCCACTTGTTCAGTGTCTGTGTCTCAGACACCTGCTCAGCAGAGTCTCCCTGCCCGCTCCGTGGAGAACAAGGGGTTATCTACCCCTCCCCTACTCATGCTCCTCAGCGGCAGTGGGGACAGGGGTATCTCAAGCCCGAGGGCAGCCAGCCCTGGCTCATCCCAGCTCTAAAATTGTGTGCCAAATGTGGTGCACATATGTAATCCTAGCACTTGAGAGGCAGAGTCAGGAGGATTGTGAGTTTGAGGCCACCATAGGCTACATTGTCTCAAAACAAATACTAAAATTTCTTTAAAATATTTCAGAGGAAACTAGGAAAGTGGGTTTTTTGTTTGTGGTACTGGGGTTTGAACTCAGGGCCTCATGCTTCTTAGGCTGGCATTCTACCACTTGAGCTAGCCTTAGAAAGCATTATGCCAGGCACCAGTGTTCACGCCTGTGAGAGGCTGATATCTGAGAATTGCTGTTCGAAGCCATCCCTGGGCAGGAAAGTTCAGGAGACTCGTCTCCAATTCAGCACGAAAAAAGCTGGAATTAGAACTGTGGCTCACGTGGTACTAGCCCTGAGCAAAAAAAAAACAACCCAAAAAACAAAAAACTCAGGAACAGCACCCTGGCCCTGAGTTCAAGCCCCAGAACAAAAACAAAACAAGAAGTATTTGGTGTTTGGTGCTCAAAAACAAATGACAGGCTGGGCTGGGCATAGGTGAAGTTGTGCAGTGTTGCCTACCAAATGGGAATCCCTACATTCAAACCCCAGTACTGGAAAGAGAGAGAGAGAGAAGCAAAGGAAGGAAGGAAGGAAGGAAGGAAGGGAGGAAGGGAGGGAGGGAGTGAGGGAAGAGAGTGGAGCTATGGCTCAAGTGGTAGAGTACCAGCTTTGAGTGAAAAACCTAAGGGACAGTGCATAGGCCCTGAGTTCAAGCCCTAGTACCAGCGCGCACACGCGCACGCGCACACACACACAGAATGATATCCTGTAGCCTGGTCTCATGCCAAGAATGATGTTCATGGACAGAAGAGTGTATGTACTTCCTGTGTACTAATTCGATGGCAAAAGGCCTTGAGGGTACGCAGCAGAACCATTCTTGAGCTGGACCCTGGGACACCCAAGTTGTAGCAGGAACAGGGCCTTCTGCCCCTGGGTTCATGCAGGGGGAAGGAGAGAACCCCTCCAGCTGGCTCCTGAACACAGCCTGACTTCTCAACGGTATAGCGAACAGGTTTTGTTCACCCCAATAGTGGGTGGCACCCTCTGTTCCACTGAGCAAGCCCCTTGGTTCCTTTCCCCCTTCGAAGGGCAACTGACCCTTCTCTCCTCTCCCCGCAGGGCTGGGCTCCGCAGTGCCCTCACTGTTGCCCACTTTGTGACTGTGCCTGTGCCTGCCAGCTCCCTGACTGCCAGAGCCTCAACTGTCTCTGCTTTGAGATCAAGCTCCGATGAGGACCCAGGACCCCTGGTCTTTGGGGAGCGGTCAGCCCCCGGGACCCACATGCCCCCCTTCCTAAGGGCCATCAGGACATTTCTCTCCGGACTCCTGGAGCTACAAATGGCTTCCCCAGCTCTCCAGGCTGGGAACCCCCAGTGGAAAGCCTGGCCCCTGGCAGCCTTTGGGTGGCTGGCCTGCAGCGAATTTGGAGGGCTGGAAGGGAAAGGAACTCGTTCTCTGGCCCGTGCCTCTGCCCCTCCTTCCCTCACCAAGTAAATGACTGCAGGTGCAGGTGAGGGCCAGGATACTTCTGACCAAGAAGGCATTATGGGAAGACCCCAGTGGGCCTTGAGCGTCAGGATGTAGGGGTGCCCGCCTGCACCCTATGCGTGGACTCTTGGTTATTTTGGAGGTGAGTGTCTTGTCTTCTAATGCTCTCCCTCTTCAGAAAAAAAATAAAATAAAAAACCCACCAACCGGCCCAGAGTGGGGACGGGAGGGGGTTAGAAGGAATGGGTGGCAGGCAGCAGGGAGGCACCCCCCCCCCCCTTACTCCTTCCTCTCCACCCACAGATCCCTGCTCAGAGGATTATTTCTCGTAACAACCAATAGCCTCAGTCTGGAATTGCAAGGAAGAGAATTCCTCTGAAACATAACGGTGAGTTGGTTTGGGGGAGGGTGGGGGGATGCGGTGCCCTCCCCACTGGGTGGACCCAAGGCCTCCGCCTGCCCCCACGCAGGGCCCCATGCTGGCATGAATGTCAGGGGCTTCAAGTTTCCCTAAATATAGGTCCCTGCTGCGGGATCCGTGGTGAGGAAAGGGCAGGGGTTACCGCGAAGGTTGGGGACACTGGCGCGGGGGAGGGCAGGGGCTGCCTTATAACCCAGCCCAGGCCCGCGGGGCTCACTGCAGACCGCGCGCGCGCCAGGCCCCGCTCCGCTCCTCGCCTCGCTGCAGGTGGGCTGGGGCCGGGGGTAGGAAGGCGATCGATCGGGCCTGGAAGAACGGGAGGCCAAGCACGGGGAAGGCGGACAGCTCGGGGGCTGATTTTATTTTGGAGAAGGAAATCAGGCCCCGGGGCGGGCGGGCGGGGGGAGCCGTTCCTCCGGGACCTGTCCAGGCCACGCCGGGCCAGCCCGAGCCGGCCCGTGCTCCCGAGTCAGGCTCTCCGCGGCCTGGCCCGGCTGGACGGAGTGCGCGTGCGCCCGGGGCCCCGCTCCCCGGCCGGGGCCGGGCCCGGAGGGGCCTCGCCGCCCCCTGCCGCTCCCAGTGCGCCCACCCGCCGCCCTTTCCCCCGCCTCTGGCCCCGGGTGGGTGGCCGCCCGGAGGCCTCGGCCGGCTCCGCCCGACCTCGCCCTTGGGTTGGGGTGACTTAGGTGGCGCCGGCCGGAAGCGGGGCTGGGAGCAGCGGGCAGCCCGCGCCCGCCGCGTCCCTCGGGGCGCCGCGGCCCCGCGCCCGCCCCGTCCTCCCGGGGCCCGCAGTTCCCGCTGAGTCACCGCGCTGGCTCGCGCGGGGCCGGCGGGGGCCCAGCACGCGGGGGGCGGGGGGGGCAGGGCCGCGGCCCGCGGGATGTGGCCCGAGTCACGTCCAAAGGGGGCGGCGGCGGCGGGCGGGGCCGCGCGGGCGCCCCGCCCCTCCCGGGCGCCTCCCCGCGCGGCCCGGCCCGCGGGCGGCGGCGCGCTCGCCTCCTCGCTTGCCATTGGCGGCGTGGTGGCCCGGGCCCCGGCGGAGCCCGGCGGAGGGCGGAGCGGTGCCTTTAAAAGGCCCGGTGCCCGCCCCCGCCCGCCCCCTCGGCGCTGAATAGGCTGCGTTCTCTTGGAACGCGCAGAACCGAGCCCTGGTGACTGCGCTCGCGTGGCTCCGTCCGTCCGTCCGCCCGCCGCCGCCGCCGCCGCCGCCGCCGCCCCCCCTCCGCCCGCCCCCTCCGAGCCAGGTGAGCGCCCCTCGCCACGTGCGCGGGCCGGGGCCGGGGTCCGCGCCGAGCCCCGCTCCCGCCCCGCCGCGCGCCGGCATCTCCCCGGCCCTGCTGCGCATCGCCGCCGCTCCGCTCGCTGAGTCATGGCGGGGGAGGAAGCGGGACGAAGGGCCATCTTACTACCGGCTCCTTCTTATATCCCCCCCCCCCCCACCAAGGGACTCCCCCCCCCTCTCTGATGCAAAGCATTAGGGGTCCTTTTGCTCCCCCTGGGACCCCTGGCTGCCGCCTTGGAGGGGGGAGGGGGCGCCCGCCCGCCCTGGCCTCCGAGAGGAGGGGAACCCCCTCTCGCACCCCCTCTCGCAGCCCTGGTGACCCATTAACACCTTCCCCGTCTTTCCTGCTCTGTGACCTTGCTTCCGAGCTGTTTTCTGCCAAAGTCACACGCACTTTTTAAAGAGAAGGGGTGGGGCGCTTGTCTGTCCACCACATCCCCCAGTTAGGTAGAAACCCTTCCCTTCCCTCTCACTTAGGGCTTTTCCCCAGTCTGATTACCCTCGTGCCTTTCCCCTAACAGCCTCCCTCCCCCCCCAGGTCTGACCTTGGGATGTCCTTGAAACCTGGGCCAGCCCTGGGATTCTTGATTGGATTGGATAGGACATCAAACTGGCAGTCAACATCTGGGTTCTAATCTCAGATCTGCCCCTTGGGTGGCTGTGTGGCTCCAGCACAGATCTTTCTCTTCTCTGGGCCTTTTTAGACAACTTACTGGGCCCTCTTGCCCTACTCATGCATGATCTTTAAATTCTGAAATACTCCGATTCAATTTTGTTTCTAGGAAGGTGACCCCATGGCAATGCGCAGGCCAGAAGGGTCCAGCTTCAACGTGACCCGCATGTCTCTGGCTCTGGCTGTTTCCTTTCCCCCAGTTGTCAGTGGGAGAGCCCAACCTCAGCAGGGCTCCACCCAGCCCACCACCCAGCCACAAAGAGAGTTAGGAAAGGTACAGGTGGAGGCAGGTCTAGTATAAAGAAGAGCTGTGGATTAGGACATGCCCCAGGACCTGCCGGGTGTGGGGCAGGGGAGGTCTGGGAGGTTGGGAACCTCCACCCTGACCTCTAGGTAAGGAACCCTGACCCTGAGAGCTCATGGGAACATCCACCTGACCAGGCCTTGCTTCCTCCACCCAGGAAGTTGGTGTCACCAGCACCATGCCCTACCAATACCCAGCGCTTACTCCGGAGCAGAAGAAGGAGCTGTCGGACATCGCTCATCGCATTGTGGCTCCGGGCAAGGGCATTCTGGCTGCAGATGAATCCACCGGTGCGGTGCGGGCAGGAGACAGGGTGGTAAAGCCAGGATTGGTAGTGACAGGTTGATCCTCTTAACCTTCCCTTGTGACCCTGTCTCCAGGAAGCATTGCCAAGCGGCTGCAGTCCATTGGCACTGAGAACACCGAGGAGAACCGTCGCTTCTACCGTCAGCTGCTTCTGACTGCCGACGACCGAGTGAATCCCTGCATCGGAGGGGTCATCCTCTTTCATGAAACACTCTACCAGAAGGCGGATGATGGACGTCCCTTCCCCCAAGTTATCAAATCCAAGGGTGGTGTCGTGGGCATTAAGGTGAGGACAGAATACTGGTCAGGGGTCTGGAGACTTGTGTGCAGTCCACTCCAGACTTCTGGAACTTACTAGTCTTTTGGCCCTTTTTTAAAAAAAAAAAATTGGGCTGGGAAGGTGGCTCTGGTAGAGCGCCTGCCTTGGATGTGTGAGACCCTGGGTTCGATTCCTCAGCACCACAGAAGCAGAAAAAGCTGGAAGTGGCGCTGTGCCTCAAGTGGTAGAGCACTAACCTTGAGCTGAAGAGCTGAGGGACAGCGCCCAGGCCCAGAGTTCAGGCCCCACGACTGACAAAAAAAAAAGTTTTTCTGGTTCGGTAGGTGGCACCCAGGGCTCCTCTGAGTTAGCCTGGGGAATAGGGCTAGCCCACCTCCGATGGCATCTTTCATTTTGCAATTCTAAGAGCAAGTGGAGGCATTTTCTCACTTTACAGCTAGAAATCTAGAGGCTTGGGAGGCGATGAGATGGTTTGCTGCATTGAAGGTAGAGCCAGGTCCCTTTGATATCCAACCCATTAACGTTCCTGGCAGATACTGTCCCAGCAGGTCCTGCCTCACAGGCCTGGGTGTTGTGGCTGATGAGACTGTTAGTATACCCTCTGAGAGGCAGGAGAGAGGTCAAGTAAATTTTGGGGAGATGGGGGGGAGGCGCGTAGGGTAGGACAGTGCTTTAGATCATGTTTCTCATCCCAATAGGTGGACAAGGGCGTGGTGCCCCTGGCTGGAACAAATGGCGAGACCACCACCCAAGGTGAGGACTGTTGAGCTCCTTCCTCTTCCCACGCAGCTCGCCAGGCTGGGGCTTAGCTTAGGCAAGAGTAAGTGGAGCCCCACGGCACATTTCCTCCATGTTCCGTCCTCGTCTCCTCTCCAGGGCTGGATGGATTATCCGAGCGCTGTGCCCAGTACAAGAAGGATGGAGCTGACTTTGCCAAATGGCGTTGCGTGCTGAAGATCGGGGAACACACCCCCTCCGCCCTCGCCATCATGGAAAATGCCAATGTTCTGGCCCGTTATGCCAGTATCTGCCAGCAGGTGGGATTGGACTTGCAGGTCCTACCTCATTTGAGTGCAGGCTAGCTTGCTGACCATCTGCTAGCATACCTCCCCCACAACAACTGTTGCCAATACTTAGCAAGTAGTAGTAGGCCGCTTGGAGGCTACTCTGCAAGGCCGAAGGGCAGAGTAGGGATTGTGGGGGCAGAGCTGAGATTTGTTTTGCCCGTAATTTACTGAGCTTTGAAGCCTTGAGTCTCGCAAGATAACATCTGGGCTGGTGGCTGTGGTAACTATAGGGTGGGGTTCCACCTTAGGCCTTACAACTCTGTCCCTCTCACCACAGAATGGCATTGTGCCCATTGTGGAGCCTGAGATTCTCCCTGATGGGGACCATGACTTGAAGCGCTGTCAGTATGTAACCGAGAAGGTAAGTGACCAGTCCTGCCTGGCTGGGTCTGAGCTCTTGAATGATTGGTCCTCTACCCCACCACGTACCTCGGTCCTGTCTGGCTCCAGGTGCTGGCTGCTGTCTACAAGGCTCTGAGTGACCACCACATCTATCTGGAAGGCACCTTGCTGAAGCCCAACATGGTCACCCCAGGCCATGCCTGCACCCAGAAGTACTCGAATGAGGAGATTGCCATGGCCACTGTCACAGCGCTGCGCCGCACTGTGCCCCCTGCGGTCACTGGTGAGGCCCGTCCCCTCACCCACGGCCTCAGGGAGGGGGAGACACAGCAACTGACCACCACCTTGGATCCCAGTCGGTCTGCTGTGAAAGGCACTTCCTAGCTGCTACCCCCAGCCCCCATCTCTGACTCAAGTCCTGCCCTTGTTCTCCAGGGGTCACCTTTTTGTCTGGTGGACAGAGTGAGGAAGAGGCAACCATCAATCTCAATGCCATCAATAAGTGTCCCTTGCTGAAGCCATGGGCCCTGACCTTCTCCTATGGCCGAGCTCTGCAGGCCTCTGCTCTGAAGGCCTGGGGTGGGAAGAAGGAGAACCTGAAGGCTGCCCAGGAGGAGTATGTCAAGCGAGCTCTGGTAAGGCTGTGGGGAAGGCAGGTGGGCATCTGGCAAGTGGGAGGGCTCTGATGGGAAACCTCACTCTCCTCCTTCCT